TAAGACATGGAAGTGAATATACTAATAAAGTTTAAGAAGTCAATTTAAAAAAGAACAAATTCCTTTTTATTTGTTGATTATAATGCTATATAAATGAGGTAGTATTATGTGAGTAGTTTATTTTTACAAAAAATTAACAAAAACTTTAATGAGGTTTTCTGCTCCTACATAGATTCATAGCTTTGGAAACCCTACACAGAGTCAATATGAGTCAGATAAGTGCTCACTCGACAGCACTTACCAACAGCAAAATCTGTTTAGTTTGTTAAATAGGTTTAGCTTTAAGCACGTATCTTAAAGTTAGACTCTTCTAACAGCCTTCAATTTTTTGAACTATTTCCATATCCCCAATAGCTTCACTGACTCTCAGACATTATGGCCACTGGAAAGTAGATGGTTTTGCCGAAGCCATCTCAGGATACAATTCTATGTATTGTACACCTGTGTTCTGTCTGCCTTCTTCTAAGAATTGGATTAAAGGTTTTTGTTTTGTATTTTCTTTTAGTTATATTGGATGCCGGGGAACATAAAAGCATGCTCTCTTGACTAACTAATAAATGAAGAAGAAAGAGTAAATTACTTTTGTCTGCTTTTGGATATTAAGTAAGACTTGACTAAGCTAAGTTACCAGCTAAGAGAGAGAAGGAGTAAGGGGCTGAGTGGGTCCTCTACAAACTTAATCACCAGCTTTTAGAAATGGATACTTGTTGCCTTTGAGTTACTTCAGACTCAAAGTCATCCCGTGTGTGTGTGAGGGCTTTCAGAATCCAATTGCCAGACGTTTTTTCTGAGGTGCCACTGGGTGGGTTTGAAATACTCTTGTTAAATGTGACAGAGTAAAACTGCCCCATAGGCTGTAATCCTACGCTGTACTGGGGAGAGCCCTGGTGTGGCACTATAGGATTAGATAAGTAAACACTGGACTGGAAACAGCCACGCAATTGGCCTTCAAATCCATCAGCTTTTCTTGAAAACCCCACACAGGGTCACTATGAATTGGAACCACCTCCATGGCACAAAATAACAATCTTTATGGGAGCAAATAGCCAGGTCTGTTGTCTGCAGAGACCATTGTGTTAGTAGATAAGTGCTTAACCATTTCACCACCCAGGAGCTCCATAGGATGTTGTTGTTACTAAATGCCAT